TTATCAGTTATCAATATCTTTGAAAGTATTAAAATATGGTGTGAAAAAGAATTTGTGAAAGAGTTTCAAGAGGAGTCTCAAGGAAGTCTTAGGGGAGAATTTATAAAAAACAGTGGAATTTGAAAAAAAAGTGGTACACATAAATATTTGTTTGTATTTACGGAAAACTTCAACCTGCGCATTACGCAGTGATCACTAAGCCAATATCCGGCGATTTTCTTTCAAATTTTTGCTGTAGATCGTGTCAGTTGACGCACCTCGGATGACTAAGACCGTCATCTGACGCGAGTCATTATTTAATTAATGGCTGATTGTTTTGTCGGCCCGAAAGTCTTAATTGCTTAAATAGAAAAGAAAAATGCGCAATTCAAATATTTGTGCTTTTAACATCAGAATTCTATATAAAGGAGAATATCACGCGTTTAGCGAACTTCGCGCTTAGTTAATTAATGGCTGATGTATGTCAGCCTGAATGCACTAAAGCCTCAACTGCAAAATAAACCACAATCAAGAATCTAGACAGACTTTTTTTATACAAAAGCATCTTTGGTTTAATTTATATTAATAATTATTACATTTTTTTAATAGAAAAGGCACAGTAATACGAGCATGTGAAGGTGTCAGTGCGCCTCAATTTGAATCCTTTAAAATTTTTATGACGAAATATTACTGAATGTTTTGTTTATACAATGTTAGTTACAGGTAACTTTTTGTTTTGAAAAATAATACGTGGCAATAAAATACTGATGATAATTGCCAAAACTGTGAATAATCTATAACAGAAAAAAAAATATCAGAATGATCCAATGTTTGAAAGGTTGGAGGAAAGAATTATTCAATTTTTTTTTAAAAAAAAGCTTGAATTTAACCAAAATATACAAACTCAAAAATCATATTTTTATCTAAAAATAATTGAACTGTAATAAAAAATTTTTTACGTTAATTTGTTCGAGAAATAATGTAATTATTTTTTATTGGACAATAAACTTGTTTAAACAAGTTATTCGTTGTTTTAGGGAATTTCCATCTTTTTTGTTCGAAGATTTGTTTGTAGCATATTTAGCATATTGCAGAAATCGTAGCATATCATAATATTAACTTTAAAATATAGTAAGAACGTGAAAAACTAACAAATATAAAAGTGCTAGGCGTTAATTAAAGTTACTAACAAACTGTGTATTTCTCTTAGTCAGATTTTTAATCTGAAATTGAAATAACGTGTTTTATTTTTTCCATCACATTCTTTTAAAATGAAAAAAGAAAAGACGCAAGTAAATTTTTTGGGTAAGAAATTTTCAAAAGATTGAACCAAAACAAAGACTAAGAATAAGTTTACAATTTCGATAGAGATAATAAAAATGATAACAAAAAGAGTTGAGAATTATTGGCGCAATTAATTGCAATGGATGAATGATAATGGAAAATTTAAGGTTAAAGATGTCATATTATTACACAAATTTTGTTAAAAAAGAAATTAAATACAATAAGTGAATACATGAAAATACAAGAATATGAGAATCCTTGTTTTTGTATTTTTTGAAATGTAAAAAGTAGTTTGTATTCGTTCATCCGGATATCCAGATATCCGTTTTTTAATGGATAATGTATAGGAACGTTACATCAAAATGATCAATTATAATACAGTCTGACATATACACATATATTTTGTAAGATTGCTACAAAATCCTTTAATCCGCAGCTTGTTAACATATAAATCACACGCATAAAAAAAACTAAGTTCAAAAGAAAATTTCTTATAATGAATATTCTATTTGTTTTATTTTGAGAGAATAATTTATGGTTAAATAGCTAAACTTTTTTCGTTAGCCTTCTCCCTGGATATATCTTTCACCGAATTAAATTATTTGAAGAATGGAATAAAGAAATTGAGAGAAAGAGATATCATTGGTATAATGATGTTATTTGAGCTTATATATTCATGAAAAAATATTTGCGTAGAGGAATTGCGTATTCCTTTACTATAACTTTTCCTGATCAAAATTAAAGGCAACAGCATGGGGAACTACTTCTTTGGACATTGGCGAAAACTTTCTAAGTCCTTGTATGACCATTCTGCAATTGTTAAGGTTTACTCTTTTTTAATTGGTTTAACGTGTTAATTCTTTATATTTTATTTATTAATTTTACTTTTGGATCAAGTTAATAGCATTTTATTCGACCTAACGTGAAAGTGAAATCTCAATGAAACATAATTATGGTTATCATTTTTGTATTGGTCCATCATTAAAGTAAGACTATTCGGCACGAATTATCCGATTAATTGATGTATGGTCTTATGTTACTCAAACAGGGAAGATCAAAGCATTTGATACTAAGAAAGCTTGTGAATTTTATATTTGATGTTTTAATGTTTAAAAGTTTTGAATTCTATGTTACAGTATATTTTCGTTCACAATGATTTTCTTTAACGTATTTATGAAATGAGTTGTTAATTGTCGCTGAAGCTGCTAAGTATTTTAGTCATTTGTTAAAGACCAATAATGTTGATGCACATATTTTGACCGGTTGTGTTTTTTTAAAAAAGACAAATAATTTTGATAATTAGATGGAAATATATTTACAGCATTTTGAGTTTATTTATCAACTCAGATAATGATTAATTATTATCTCCTTTACAAATAATAAAAAATAACGCTCTTAATGGTTTAAGTGTGTCATATTTTTTTAAATATATATTTTTATCAAATATTTTATTGAATATTATATAAATTATATATATCCTATTGTCTATAGGAGCCAACCACAATTTCTATCTATAATTTTAGTATCAAAAGCACCTTCATAACTTCATTTTGTGCAATGAATTGCTGTAATCGACAGTAATCCTTCCTATAAATTTAATATATAATGTAAATTAATATTAATTTCTGGCAAACTTCGCAAAAATCTTTACTTAATGAATTTCATCTAATAACACAGGCCACTCAGATCTCAAATAACTGTTCCAGTTAAAAATCATCTTAACAGACAATTAAAGCATCGATTCAAAATTTCTCGTTACGTTCAAATGACTTACAACGCGAGGCACCAATCAACCTAATATTAAAGCAATAAAAAAAATTACGATTAATTTGAAATTAAAATAACTTATCCAAACATAATTTAACTTACGATATAAAATATTGAGGTATCTAATATCAGCCCAACCAAATTTGCACGACCTGCATTAAAATAAATTTAATTAATTTCAATGAAACAATATATTATTTAATCCTAATATAACTCTACCTTCATAACATCCAAAAATATTATAAGCATCGCAACAATAGTAAATGCTGTTATTATATTGTTCTTACTGCATTGTTCATATCCAGTAAATCACCTTCATTAGTCACTACATTATTAATATCAATTCTTTTAGCTTTCGGTTGCGGTGGTATTGCTAATGGATCAGATGCTTTTAAGATCGAAGAGTCATGAGTTTTGATTAAAAAGTTTAACCTTATCTCGGTGTTGCTGCTACTGATGCTGCTGCTCTCGGTACTCTTGATGCTTTCTCACTTGTGATCAAAAGGATCATTGTAATCATATGAAAGGTACTTCATACTGCATCTATACAACACCGGATTCTTTTACAAAATATACGAGTTCACATAATTTGGTGAAAATAATAGAGAACGTCTCTCTGACAAGTTGCGCCATTATTAGCAAAGAGGAGGAATAAACGGTTTATCCTAACTCTTATTGGTATAAAATATTGTTATTAAATCAAGACTTTGCTAAAGAATAGCAAATATTGATTAATTTCATAATTTTATGTTATTGAAAAATGCAGTTAAATATCGGACTTACCTCTTGCTTGTTTTTACAAATAAGATGAATGTTCCATTCTTGCGAACCAGAACGACCCAGAACGACCCAGAAGTCGAATAGCAACTAAATGCGTAAGCCAGATTTTGATAAAATCAAAATCAAAATAAATAAATAAAAAATATAACATTATAAAAAAAACAAAATGAAACGTATGTGAGATTCAAATATAGTAATAGAAAATTCTAATTCAAGTACAAAATGCATAGGAGATTGTGAAATTTTGACTTATGTTTTCTTCCTTATCTAATCATAAGGAAAATAACCGGCACTACGTACTGAAATGATAGTTACATTAAAAGTCTTTTCTTTTTTTTTAAAAAAAAAAAATTTATAAACCAAACCTATATCGACGCAATTGATTACTTTGATTTAATATTTTGCAACCTAAAATAAAATATTAATGCGTTAAACTTGTGAATAAAATTTTTTCAAATACTATAATAATTCAAACCTTTATGATCTTTATAGAATACAACTGTAAAGAAACCCAAATAGATTTAAACCCCATGTTCCTAACTTCTGAATTTATAGTGGACGTAATTTCCAAAGTTATCGCATATTTCTTTAAACAACAATTAGGAACGTTTTAGTCTAAAATTGAATATTTCATGAAACACAGCGAAGCTAACCTTTACACAAATTAGTGTTCTTGAATTAGCAACTCTCTTCTTAGGGTTGGGTTCAATAAAGGAGTGAGTTTATAGTTTAGAGGGTGCATTTATGGAGAGTTAGCAGTAAAAAGATGAGATGATCATTTGCGGAGCCGTCAACGTGGTTTAAATAAACACTCAAGACAATAAGTCACGTGGAGTGAAAAAAGGTTTTGGCTAGTATAAGGTTCTATACTTAATTTTTATTTTTTTGAACGCGCGATAATGCTAAATTCTAAATTTACGCACATTTCTATATACCAAGGACTTGATTAATAAAAATATAAAATTTATCATTTAAAAAATGATCCGATATTTATAATTTTTATTTAGATAACAAAATCCTAAAACATTTATAAAACTTAGAAATAAAATAAAAATTTAAAACTATAAAACTTTAAAATAAAATTTAAAATTATATAAAACTTTAAAATAAAAATTTTAAACTATAAAACTTAAATATAAATTTAAAACTATAATAAGCCATTTAAAATAAAAATTATATACAACATATTATTATTTATCTTTACAGATTAAATAAAAAGATTTTAAAATAACTTCACCTATTTCTGATATCCTATCTCTAAATAGGTAAATCACCGCCCTTATGCTTTGGTTGTCAAGTTTAAATCCAAGATCAATAAATATTTTTAATTTTTTAAATATTACATTCTCATCTGGGCACACCCAGTTGCGCTGATCGGTATTAGATGGAAATAAAAGCAAATATACGCCCCGAATCACAAGGCTATTCGTATCTTTACATATTTCATGATAACCGATTTGTTTCCATAAATTTACGAGATCAGGATATAACACGATGGCACGAGCTAGGATATTTAATTGATGTACGTTTTCATAACCATGTTCTCTTGTTGATGGAGGGAATGGTATTAATTTTTTGTTTAATATTAAATCCTTTATTTGTTCAATGTCAACTTGTATTCTTTCAGATGAGAGGCTTATCATGGAAGAACTGGCTGTTAGTAAATGAAGGAGATCAAAGTCATTCCCTTTTATATATACATCTGATTCATATAACTTGATTGCTTCTTCCAAAATATATATGAAAACATCTACAGATAGGTCATAGCCCCAATGGTGCTTTTGGGAAGAATTTAATCTTTTGAAATCTTCTTGGCTTACGTTAAGAGTATTTCTAAGTTCCAACAATCTCCCATCACAACCTCCACATTGTAACATAAGTCTTTGAACAAAGTAACGTGATAAAATTGCTTTTTTAGCCATTAAGCATTTTATAACATCTAACGTGAGGAAATTGCGTCCAAGCCTAACTGCATGAAATAATGCATGTGCTCTCCCATACTTATTAAGGAGCCATTCAGATCTCGCGTGCGGATCATGGAAAATAGTATACCAAGCACGGTTAGCGAGAGCAAGTGAAATTGGATTTTCAACGTATTTAAAAATTACAATTTTAATTTCGTATAAAATTTTCATATTTGTATATATAAGTATATATTTTTGTTATTTGGTAAAATTTAGGTTATAAGGGTTATAAGAAAGATTCAGTTCTCGGCGGATTTTTTTTTTTAAAAAGTTATAAAAGTAGAAAAGGAAATAAAAAGAAAAATAAAAAATAATGTACAGTTTTATCTTATGAGAAGTTTTTTAAAAAAGCATATTATAAAAAATAATGATTAGATATTGAAATACAATAATGAACAATAAAAAAAAATCCTATTCCTTATATATCAAATCTTTTGTCCATTGTTTTTCTGATTTTGATCTCTTCGGTTTCCTTGCATGCATCAATTGCATCATCATTTTTTCCATCACATTCTAATAAAGTCTAGTAGCTATGATTTGCGAGATGAAATAATTGTTACCATAATAAATCATTTGATAATATGCATATTTATATATCGTTTAGGAGAACAAGGGCTTTTTCATTGTTTTATTTATTATATCGTCCCCATTGGAATCAGGGATGTTGAAATAATATGAAATATGTGTAACTTACCACAATCAGAAGGCTGATTTACTTACAAAAACGATTTTGTTTTTCTGAACATTTGATATACATTCTATAAAATATAGAAAGGGTTGGTTCATAGGTTTTTAGGGATGGAAAAAGTTCGGTTTAGCGACTTGAGTCGGTTCGTTTCATTAGGTTTGGTACATAAATAAGTTTTGATATAAACTTACTCAGATCTGGACCGAAATGACAAAAACCGATTATGGTACCGAACCGGTTATTCGGTTTGACTCGTTTTCTCAATTGTGTCGGTTCGGATCCTAGATGTAATATATAATATATGTATTATTTATTCAACGATTTATAAAAATTAATTTTATATTAGTTGACGATTATTTATCGGTCTTGCACTTAAAAAAATATGGATGTTCAAATTTTTTATTGCTAGCTTGTCTCGTTTTGTTACGACCATCCCTTCTTTCCTCATAAAACCAAACTTCTTCCGAAGCTTAGAGTTTGTACCGATTTTTTAACTGGAACGAAGATAGAAATATAAAGTACATATATCATTGGTAAAATCGAATCGATCGATGATTATACTGTAAAGTTCGTAATTTGTTAAATTATTCGAGATTCAATATTTTTTTTTAAAAAAAAAAAATTTAAAGTCCGTAGCGAAATAATAGTGAATTAATTAATTTGTCATTTTAATTACAAGGAATCTAGAGTTGAGTTGTATTTATTGAATTCTGCGCAATGTCACGTATGTTACAACGTTATATAACATTTTTTAATATATTAGAAGAAATTAACCTTATGTATTAATTGCAAATGTTGTGTTGTAATAAAGGTCAATTTTATTTTTAATTGTTGCCACATCCTTTAATTATGTATATTTAAAATACGCATTAGTTGTCCGTGCCGGTCAGGATTATGAAAATTCCTTAATGAAGAGAATTTCCCTTGCATACAGTCTTCATATCTCATATCTCTTCAATTTTGTCAGGTTTATTGACAGATAATCGTTTTATACTCTGTAATGTTTTACTAAGAAAAATAAATTTGTTGCTAATGTAATATATTCTTATTTCCAGATTGCTGCATTATGATTTTGTGATGGATTTATAGACAATATATTTTCTGTATTTTATTTCTCTGGGCTTGAGATGTTCTTTCAGAATTACGAAATAATGATGGATGTTATCTCAGATCATGAACCAGAATCATAAGTGGAAGTGCGAGGATCGTGAAGTGGTGATGTTCCAGAATCATGAGGTGATGATGTTGCTGTACAGAGGTGGCGGTGTCGCCGGTGTCGTTTTTATGATCGGATCTCAAAGAAAATGTACTACATAAAATAATATTAAATTCTATTTTGATACTGTATAAAAATATTTCCATTTTTTTTTTAGCTTTATTTATGTTATAATTCGCGTTCAATCTTTAAATAAAAATGAGTTATATAGTAGTATGTTAATTTAAGATGATTATTGATTTTCGTTTGAAATTTGTTCTAATTATACTCATTGATCTTTGAAATTCCATTTAATATCAAAAAAAAAAATTCATATCTATACCCATATCTAAAAATTTCACCGAAGTGTAACATAATTCTACGCAAGGTATGCATCGGATACTGCTTTATTAAACCCTCCCCAAGGTAAATAAATAATGATACTATATTTGTCTTCATCACACCTTCCCAATAATAGAATATCAAAGAAAATTCTTATCATATGTTTCCTATATCTTCTCGATAATAAAATATCAAAGAAATTTCGTATCCTATGTTTCCAACTCCTTTTTAATGATAAATTATCAATAATTATGTCACTCACTCCTTCCTAATAATAATTAAAAATTTTGTATCCTTTCCTTCTATCCGTGATAGTAAAATTTCACACACACAACCATTACACATAAAATAAAAATAAACAAACTGTTTCCTTTGATGTGTAGTAGGCGAAGGGTTTGAAGACTTTGAATATACGTCTATGAATCTGTATGCTTTTTTAAAATCACATAAAGAGATAAGTAAGTAGTCTATCAAAAAAAAATATATTAATAACAAATTAAAAGAAAACTCTCTCTTTGTTCACTTTTCTAGGAAAATAAATTGTATATTTTTTTAAATCTTCATTTTTAAAGCTACTTACCATTTAATGTATTTATTAGAATTTATTAAATAAAATCTATAATAAGTAATATGAATAAAAGTGGGGAAAATGTAAAAGATCAAAAGATTATCATTCATCACTCATGTATAAATGTATAATGGTCCGCACTCCGCCGCAGTCGTACGAGTAAAAACGTCATCATGTACATCATGTATATGTCAATTGTGATACGCGTACGACTCGCGTACGATATTTATTGAGGGCACCGTTCACGTAAAAAAAAACTTTCAGACTTTTAACACTTGATATTTATAAGAATGATACTTTCCTTACACATAAATATTTTTACACGTATCTCTCAAGTTCCAAAATATAATTATGGAAGGAAGTAAGTGAAGAAATGTCTTTATGTTCTGAATCTGGAGGAGGAATCTGTTTTCAACATAGAAATGGATTCTTGAGAGTGCTCATGCTCAGCCCACGCTTTAGCTCACGCCTAGCCTACGCTCAGCTCACGCTTTAGCTCACGCTTAGCTCACGCTCAGCTCAAACTTTAGCTCACGCTTAGCTCACGCCCAGCTCACACTTTAGCTCACGCTTAGCTCACGCTCAGCTCACGCTTTAGCTCACGCCTAGCCCACGCTCAGCTCACGCTTTAGCTCACGCCTAGCTCGCTCACGCTCAAGCTCATGCTCAGCTCGCGCTCAGCTCATGCTCAAGCTCATGCTCAGCTCACGCTCAAGCTCATGCTCAAGCTCATGCTCAGCTCACGCTAAGCTCATGCTCAAGTCATGCTCAGCTCATGCTCAAGTTCATGCTCAAGCTCATGCTCAGCTCACGCTCAGCTCATGCTCAAGCTCGCGCTCAGCTCACGCTCATGCCCACTCTTTACATTTTTGCGACATGATTATATTTCTTACACTTTACATTTTTTTTTTGTCCTAAATTTAGGTCTCAAGAAGCGAAAAATAACTAAACATCCTTGTTACTCTCTAAGTAATTCTGTGTTCGTAGGAGTCCAATTAACCGGCAAAAGCAGTCAAGAAATAGAAGATGTCATTTCAACCAAATTTTCAGTAGATGTATCTCACGTCCTCAAGACTCTAGATTATTCGTATGGAAATGCACAATAATTTTCTATGTACCAACGTGTTCGAGGGCAAGGATTAACCTTTCCTGATGGAATAACAATTAGTATTTTACCTCTGGAAGCAATGTATATACGGTATAGAAAGTTAAAGTAACATAATTCAATCTTTATATCAATGATTCGACCGATTTACAGTAAATTGACTTTGTTTATTGCATTACTAGAACGAAACATCAATTTTACATCAAGAAAATGGCTCTGTTACCACCCCTACAAAAGGAACTCTTTTAAAACAAATGAATTTCTTTTGGAACTTTTTATGGCAATGATAAATGGCGAGTTACAGAAATGATATCAAATTTATTGTACATCAAAAAAAAAAAAAATTTTGTCCACCTTGCAACTGTTGGCACTTTTTAATAAAAGAAATAATTTAGCATTTGTTTTATTTACTTATTTTTATTTTATGTACATGTGGTGTAATTTTGCATTTGCTAAATAAAATTTTACATCCGGAAAAGTCCGGTAAAATATTTTCTTCAATCTTCCTTGGCCGATTTCTATTTTCAGCACTACGGTAAATATCCAGAAATTTTTCTTCGGAAAAAAATAATGCATTTTTTAAAAAGGAAAAAACACGTGTAAATATTTTAATTCCAGTTTTATTATAAACGATCGACGATCGTCGCCTCATCCTCATCCTCATCACTGTCGAAAATTTTTCTTCCAGAAAATGAACAGTTAACAAAGTAAGAGCTTTAATTATCAACGAGAGCGTATAGTATAATAAAGTTAGTGTCGCTATGCTGCATAGTCTTATATTTAAATGCCTTTTCTTATCAATCGTAAAGATTTGAAACATTGCATAATATTTGAAGAATTTTAATAACCTATTAACTTTAACAGCTTCAAATCCATATTTCGAGTCTCGGCAGACGCATAATTTCTGAAGATATTGTCATATTTCTTTGAAAGAACGATTAGACAAGCTGATGTAGATAACGAGATCAATAATGATTAAGCGAATAAATAATTATAGCAAATGATAAGAGTATTATCATTTTTCTTCGCGGCTTCTTTTTCTTTATTCATCAAAGAATGAGTAGGGGTTAATATTCGGTAATTCGGCATTTCTTTTTATCAAACTTATTTATTTTAGTCGTTTTTTTATGGATTTATTTATTTTTTTATATTGGTAGGTAACCTACTTTGGATTTTTTTTAAAAAAGTTTATATAGGTGAATCTTGATGCAATTTCAAACTTCGTATTTGTTGTGTATCGACATTACTAGTGTACAGTTTCTAAAAGAACATTTTCTTGTTGAATCTTTATTGGTACGTTGATCATACTTGTTTATTTTTTACACTTTATCTAATTTCTAAGCATGAATTTTAATAACTTTTATATATTGATTTTATTTAGGTGGAGTTGATGATTTCTTATCGCGTCTTGATGACAAATTATCATAACAAGTCCAAACAATTTTCCTTGGCATATATCGTTTTGCTTTATGGGTTTGTGCATAACTGGCCTTTTGAGATCCATCTATTCAAAAATGCTGTTATCCATTCAATTCATAATTGAGTTATACAATGAACACATGTAGGTGTTATGCCCTTTTCTAGGACTTGAAGAAAATTATGGTAAATCTATTATTTGAATTTGTGGCGTTTAAATCAGAGACTATTTTATTTTAATCGAAAATGTTTTACATTTAAATTTTTTCGAATTTTAATTTTTAATGTATTATGCTTTTTTTTTTAGATATTTACACGCTCTTTCAAAGGTAGTGGCAGCGAGCCGCATTCCACCTATGATTGGGAGTTTCGTTAAAAGGGACAATTTGAGTCCATGTCTTCCTCTTCCGATTCTAATTCAGTCCAAATGCAGGAGCACCTTGTTCAGTACATCCCTTTGCATTCAATTTGCAATATTTCCGGACTAGGTACCAAACTAAAGGATGTGGCAAGATTGGTGTACTTCGAATGAAGTCGATCCCCTATTTAAATATGATCTGTTTGCAGAGGAAACCTTTGAGGTTAGAAATTCATTATACAGTGGATGGTCATCATATTGGAAAGAATTGACGTATGAAAATCTGTATAATATCACTACTATAATTGTTATTAAAAGGTGATTCTAGAAATTCGAATACTATTGATATAAATCCTTTACTATATAATAATGTTAATCTAGGAGATGATACTTTATGTCTGTTAAAGATCTATTCCAGAATATTACTTTCATATGGCTTGGTTACAGCAAGTCGTCATCCAAATTTGATGTTATGAACCACAGAATCACCAACATAACTATGTATACACTTTAGTTGTATGTTTCTAGCCAATATTTATTGGCCGATATCAGGATGAGTCCCGGCTTTGTCCTTATGACCTATTTGTCGACTTCTTAATTACAGATCGCGAACTCTGCAACAAATAGGCATTATTCGGGTATTCTTTAATAGTTTCAAAAATGATGGAATCTCATGGAGAGTCAAAAGAACACATATCGTTGTGAATAAGGTCAATAAATATATATTGAATTATTTATTGGGGATAAGTCACGGCTTTGTACTTACGAAACCACTTTCTGATGGATGTAAAAGTCACTCCTTAATTACAAGATCGCGCACACTGCAACGTTATTTCGGGTATTCTAAAGTTTCATCTCCGTTCCCAAAGATGGTGGAATCTCACGGAAGATCAAATGCATCATATTGCCGTCGATAAGAGGTCAAAAATTACGAAATTTGCATGTATCATTACCTGAATCCTGGATTACATTTTTCCATCAGATTTTGGTCATTTATTGCTACACGACAAAATTGCTATTTTTGTCGATGGAATGAGCGATTACATTTTACACTTATTAGATTCTAATTCTCCTAGATCAAGATTCTAAATCTCAATGCAAAAATCGTAGTAATCTATTCGACATATAGAGCATATTTAACAAACTATCTTTTGAGTGATTTCCCATGAATGCGAGATCTAGTCTATAAACAATATTGGCGCTAAGCATTGTTCGAGAGGTTTTATTTGGAAAAAAATTTTGGTATCTTTAATTCTGTAGTAGTTTCTACGCAATAGCATGCGATGATACATATTTTTTAGATTTTTTTTTTGAAAAAAAAAAGGTATAACATGTGTTGATATATATTTTTTAGATTTTATAGCGATTCAGATTAATAAAAAAGAAAATCGGAATATCTTAAAATATCATTAATACTCCTTGATATTAAAACTTGAAGAATTATTTCTTTATTTTTTGAATCTTTTGAGAGTGAGTAATTTTAAAAAATTGTTGGATTTTGAAATAAAATAAATAAACAAATAAAATAAAATATTCAAATTTTATTTGACCTTTTTGCTTCTCCATCAGTAGAATAATATTTTTTTTCTTAAATTTTTTAAATTATTTAATCAAAGTTTATTTAAATAAAATCAACTTTACAATTTAAACAAAGAAAATTTCGTACCCATTCGCGTTTAAGATAAAATACATATGTGTGTATATTTCAACTATAAAATTCACGGAAAAATATCGGATTTTTACTATAAAATTTTATATGAAAAAGAAGCAAAAAAAAAAAAAAAATGCATACATACCGAAACTATAAACAAAATTATTGAAATAAATAAGGGATTAATCCATATCAATCTCCATTTGATCTTTAAGAATCACGGACAAAGAATATGCCAAAATCTCTGAAACTCTGGCGCATATCAACATGATTACGATAATACTCATAAATAATCAGGTGAGTGCCCAATCTACTTATTATAGTTCAACGACTCATGGCTTCCAACGACTAGAACATTTGCCCGTTCCTGATCTCTTTTTGTTTCGTGATCGTAGGGAATAACGTATATCGAAGAAGAAGTCGTAGGAGTTCCTTCTTGATTTTTTGCGGTTGATTGAATAACAATCGAAATTGAATCAATACTCCTCGTTGACGTGTCATATAAAACCAATATATTATTTTCTATGTATAAGCACTGTCAGGTCAAATAATTTCATTATTTTGATCTATTCATCCTGTTCACAAAGTAGTATTGTCTTTAATCTGTCGGTGATGAATCTGAATATTGTTTATATTGTTTTGATATTCCTTTGTTCCAACCCGAATTTTTTTTTCTGTTGAACTTTATCTCTAATTCGTTCGAAGATTAAATTGTTATTTCAATTATTTGTCCAGTAGCTGAACCAATTGTACAATTGTATTATTAGATTCAGGTATCATACTATACATAAATTTGTTGCCACATAAATTGTTATTAAAATTAAAAATATTATATTGTGGTGATTTGAAAGTTTCAAGAAACATTTGTTTTATAATATTACTACACTACAATAATTCTCTTAAAATCAAGATTCTTTTTGGCGTTCTGTTCCAGTTAGTTCTGTTTAATTTCGCACCTAATAGAAAACCAATTAACTTAAAAAAAAGCGTCAAATACATAAAATCGTGATGGATATAAAAACGCATAATCCCCTGTCGCACTAAGTGTCACTCATGATCACCTTCATACTAATTTTTAAAAATTGCTGAGTTTATAAATGACCATCTTCGTTTACTTATTTTAGTTAATATTTAATGAGTGACACACTCCAAGGGATTACCATTTATTTCATGGGAAGGGGAAACATTAGGGTTTTTTTCCCCTGGAGAAAAAAACCAAACTCCCCCATGAAATTAATAATCAGATTAGCACGTGCACTCGTGTTACTCCAATTGTCAGGAGTCATGATCACCAAATGAATTTTTCAATTAAGTGTACTTACTATTGGGATTAATCGATAATTCAAAAGAAATATGGCAAAGTTTTTTAATTAAAAAGTATTTTAAAAATGATATTATTTCACAATGGAAAACGCGGTTTAGACTGCTTAATTATTAAACTTCGCCACATAATGAATTCAAATTTGTTAATATGTATTCTTAATAATTTGTTATTAAAAAAATATATATTTATATATAAAAGATGACTACCCATTTGATTCATCAATTTTTTTTTTTAGCATGACCAAAATAGTTACTCAACTATAAATAAATTGAACCTGATTCTTAAAAAAAGAAATCTCATTTAAACCCTCTTATTACGTACCTTTCGGAAATTTTTTCCCACCGGAAACGGGATATACGGAAGAAAAGTACCAAATTTATATTTCATTCAATTCGAATCAGTTCATGAAAAATAAAAACGTACAAATTAATTATTCCTTAAAAAATATATATTAAACTTTAAAAATACCGTTTATATCGCGGGAATACATCCGTTGAATAATTTTGGTTAAGAACATTTATTTTATCAATCAAAAAATATGGGCTTTTTCGGAATAACGGAAAGGAATGTCTAAATCAGTCTAAAATATACCTTTTTAAACTCCAAATGGGAAAATCAAATTTGATATTCATTACAAGTATTTGTAAATCAATTGCT